GTATTTTAAAAATTTCATTTCTAGATTGCATTTTCTTCAAATTCGCATTTGAAAAAAAACTCTTAAATTTTGTTGTTTCTTTTTTTTTTTGCTTGCAACAATAAAGCAACCAAATCCTCCCCATACTAACTTTGCCTTCAAGGTAAAACTGAAGCGTCTCTGCAGAAAGCATTTAGGACTCAGGTTACTTCAGCTCTGCCGTCTCATCCTGATCAATAAGAGGAGATCATATCACAATTTCAGGGAATTCAGAACCAATGGACGGGTGCACCATTTGAATCAGAGCTCAGAGGTGTGTGTGCATGAATGGTGGAGGCAGGGGGGGGGCGGCTGTTTGTTTGTGTGTGGAGTGAAAGAGAGGTTGGTAATGGTGAGAACAAGCTCTGAACACAGCTGCCGCTTCAGCTCACTGGTACAAGAGGTGTGAAATAGGAGAAAATGAAGGAGCAGGGCGGGTTTAGCAGCAGAGAGAAAGTCTGGAAGGTTGACAGATTTACAAATTATAAATTCCTGTTATGTAAAATGTAAATTTCCCAAGAAGCCTTTTCTAAAGTGTTGCCTGTTGACATTTATAAGATGAGAAGCATTGCACTCTTTGCCTCTGCTTCATGGTCATATCACCAGGACATTTGATTCTAGAGGATGGCTGCTAGAATCCCACCTAGATAACCAAACCTCAGTGACGGGAAAACATGATCACGTCACTGAAGTGACAGGAGAATGTGTTTCTGTTCCCTTAATGCTTATTTTCAACAGATGTAGCAAATCTGGACCAGAAGCTGCTGGTAGTTTTCACCTTTGTCTGGAGGAAGAGAAGCAGGAGGAGGAGGAGGAGGAGGAGGAGGAGGAGGAGGCAAACGGGTTCTTATGTGTGACGACAGCAGGTACAATTTTCCCACCAGAAAGGAGATTATACCTGCAGTTTGGTTTCTTCTTCATCGCTTTATTTCAAATCTGACATTTTTTTTTAACACTGTTAAAACATTTTTTTAAGTAGTCCAACTAAAAATATTCCAAAATACCAAAGATTCAGTCTTTCATCAACAAATCAGCTTTTTTCCTCCAGCTCCGTTGATCCTGGCTGAACAACAGCTTCACTTTCACACATTTGAAGGAACTGTTTATATTATTTCCATGTTTGCGGCTTTTAATGCAAAGATTGCTCTGGCTCTGAGTTCCTGTTTTATGTACAACTAGAGTTCGGTGGTACACATTATTTTGTATCTCTACAATAAAGAATGTGGTTTAGTGCCTTTCTTTTCATGTTTCTTTAGCAGTAACACTATGAAGCAAACACCTCCTGATTCCTTCCCTGGAAGCTCCGTGTCTTATCTGCTGGTGGGCACCAGGCAACCAGGCAACTTACAGTCGTATCAAACACTTTGCTATGCTCCCAGGGTAACTTGGTAACTTCCTTTCTTTGTTCAGCATGGGGAATCATCAAGATATTCAACACACAGAGCCTGAACTGGCAGCTGCCGGCCTTTGGGGATTCCTTCAGAGAAATGAGAGAAGAAGGAGCCAGAACCTCAGATCAGGAAGGCATATTTATTCTGGGAAGTTCACCAACCTTGTAGGATCTATCCCTGCTATTGCTAGCTGGGTGGGGCTGGAAACCATTTATTGGATCAATCCGGATGAATCAATTCCTGAAATAATCATCCACTAATTTGGTAATCGAATCAGTAAAATGTTATCAGCAGACAGACTCTAAAATATGCCATTTCCTGAAAGTAAAAACAAGTTAGAGCTGTAATTAAGCCAAAACTCCACAGAAAACATAAACTTTTGTCCACTCTGTGTCTAATACAGTATCCAGAAGTCCCAAACTGGAAGAGTTTTAGCCTAATATGGTTCATATTCTGTTAAATAAAAAAAAAAAAATCTCCTAATAAAATTTTTTTTGCTGTCTGAGTTTTTAATCCGTTTATCCTAAAAGTAATCATCAAATTAGTCAGTTAGTAAAATAATCATTAGTTTACATTAATAAACATTATATATTATGTTACAAAATGCTGTAAACATTGAATTTTTGTATTTCTGTCATTTAAAATTTACTTAAAGTGTACAGTAAAGGTTTTGTTGTTTGTTTAAATAAGTTTAAACAAACTTAAATGAAATTAATCAGTTGCAAAACTAATTGATAGCTGCAGCCTTAAAGTTGAAAATGTTGGTTCTGAACCTTTACTTCCTTCTCTGCTTTAGTTCTACAGAACCTCCAACTTTTAATGAAGTTTAGGAATGAACAGAATAGGCTCTAAAATCCATTTATATAAAATACTTAAAGACACTAAACTTTGACTAAATTGCAATAGTTTATTTAAGCAGCACTTCTCCTTTGACCTTTAAGCCATATTGTGTAAACTAGAAGCAAAGTGAGCAGGTTTATCTTTTTATTACAGTGTCATAGTTTTGGTGCATGTGCTTCATGTTCAATCTCCAGACCAATATTTCCTCGGTTATTAGATAGTTTTTATATCCATATAAATGATTTAGCTGTATATTAACGTAGGGATCAGTGGCACAGTTCTGTTGATTGTAGATCAGCCTCATTCTTTACTCTGTGTGTGGGTGTTAAATTCCTGTTCTAATTGGTATATCTACTTGTTTACTCCTGGCCTAAAAACAACAGCAGGCTGCCAAATGAAGATAAAACACACAAGATGACCTGCTTACCACTTAGCTTGAGCTCTATGTCCTCACTTATCATGATGCGGGACAGGAAATAGAGACGGTCAGCAGTTCGCTGCATGCTTTTTTTATTTTTATTTTTTTTTAAGCAATTGCACTTCCCTTTAAGATTGTTAACAGCATTTGCCTCAGTAAATGTAAGGTGAGGCTAAGCATAGCTCTAATCTCATACAACGCTACTGATAACTATCTAGTACATTTAGTAGAGTGGTATCTGTCCTTAAAATTACAAATAATTGGTTCTGATGATTACATAAAGTTAATAGATCTCCTGTGAACTATATTTAAAAAAATCATGCTTGAATAATTAACATTAAATGAACATTTTGTTAAAACTATTAATCATATTCCTAGATCCACTTTTTCTGTTTTCTTTTTCACCTTGATCAAGACTCCTTGCTTTAAGAAATGTGGGCCTTACTGGCTAAATAAGGCTTTCTGATTGTAACCACAGGAACTAATGCTGCCACTAACTCCATTTTTTCCCATGTTAGAAAATTCTGCTGGAGCGTTGCTTCCCCCATTCCTCCCCTCATGCTGAGCTGGGTTCTGCTGAAGGTTTATTACCGTTAAAGAGAAGTTTTTCCGCTTTATTGTTACCACATGCATACTCATGGGTAGAGGCCACAGCCAAAAGAACATGATGGGAATGTCAGCAGCACTTTAGATCTTCTTAAAAACTCACAAGATGAACCAATTTTCCTCAAAACAAATTTTATCTCAGAAATGTATGTAAATATGTTAGAATCATTCTATTATTATTACTTTTTTTCCTTTCAATGCATTGGTTATTATCATAACAACAAAAAGGCTTTAAAAGCAAAGTAAAGGTTACATAAAGTAACATTAATACTCCTGAATACTATGATGATCTCGATGCCACAAACTATGACAGTTCATCAAAGCAGGAGAATCGTACATGATGGCATCTATGGTGTGAACTTTGTTCCATTACTGTTGCAATAAAACAAAGTTTATTTTAGATGGAAATTTTATAATAATACCTTTATAAAGTAAAAAAAATACATAAATGGAACTTTGTAAAAACATTTTAGTTAAAAAAAAAAAGGTGTTGTTGTCTTTTTTTTATTTTTTTATTTATTCAGATCAATATTTCACAGATTGGGTATTTTCAAAATGTGCTTTTTCATTTTTTTTCAAATAGATTTTCATTTTGTTTTCCTAAATTTCTTTTTTTTTCACATTGCATTTCACAGATTACAATCTCTCCTCTTGATATGCGCATTAACCAATAAAAAATGTTGCTAATGTCCAGCTGACCAATAGAAATGCGTTTTAAATCAGAGGAAAGTCCACCCCCAGACGTGAAGAGAATGTAATCTGTAAAATGCAATTTGAGAAAAATGCATTTTGTAAAACTCAATCTAAAAAAAAAGAAATTAAAAGAATAAATACACTTAAATGGATCAACAAGATGTTCATATCTGCATTGCATTTTTTCAAATTTCCATTTACGAACATTTTTTCTCAGCTTTCAATAATAATGGAACAAAATGCCCTCCATAAGCGCAGTTTTGGTGCAAATGCTCTGAAATCTAAAAACATGACAAGCACTGTATCCAAGCAAGCATTAGTGAATGTTTCACACATCAATATCCACTTTATTGTGCAACGTGACCTTAAATCAGAAAAACTTCCTGGCCATCCAAGAAAGCAATGAGAACCTCATCATTATCCAGTCATTTCTACCTTATCCGTGACGCAACCTTTGTAAAAACAAGCCAAAACTCTCCATTAATGTACATATCAGATGATGACCCACTAGTTTACGGCAAATTTAGTAAATTTCTTGCGTCGTCTATAATATTTTTATTCACGATTTACACCTAAAGGAGAAGAAGGTCAGTTTTCCTGACTTACTTCAGAATTTTTCATATAAGCTCCTCCCTTCATGTGAGCCTGTGGTTCAGCTGAGCGCTGTCCAAGGTGCTGAACCAGATTCACTTTCCACGCCTTGCTTCATTTCTCACTTAATAAAGACAATTTACTCATGGAAAACGCGAAATGGGGGAAAAATAAAATAGGTACCAATGTCATACCAAAGTGACGTATTCTAATTTGTTCATCAGGATTTTAATAAATGTTTATGTAAATAAAATAAAACCTTAACTTGGTCCCGAAAAGTGCCAGAACTTAGAAAGAAAGCTCAAGAAGCGCTTCTCGCTCTCCGCTGTGAAAAACAAGCAGCTCCTTACGAACTTATCAAGCCCATATCCAGGAATACTACAAACTTTTATTGTTGTTGTTTTTGCATTTAAATTTGTCAAAAATGACAGAGTCAAACCTACCTGCTGGACCTTCTTCCTCTTGTCTTTACCTTGTTGCTCAGCTGTGAGTGTGAGAGTAAACCGGATGAAAATGTCTGTCCGCTCCAAAGCTCGGTTTAACGGACTAACCTCGGTGGAACCACACCATCCTCCACCCCCTGCCCTCCCCTACCAGCGCGCTACGCCTGGCGGATTTATACAGGCGAACTTCCGGTTTGGCTTTTACAAAATAATACGGCAGACAGAAGGTATTGAAAGGTGCTAATTTACCGTGAATTTATAAAACTGTATCTCACATGGCTCTGCAAAGATTACTTTCCAAATAAAAGGAGGATGTAACAATTATAAATCACCACTAACCTGGAAAAAGATACTTAATCAGTGGAGCAGCACAGACACCAATGCTGAAGACTTTATGGAAGAGTGGCAATTAAAAAAAGAGAATATATATGTATATATATATAAAAAACAATAATCAATCAATTAAACATAAGTTTTGTCTGGGAGCTGCACGGCGGAGGATGTTTTTTTTTTTTAGCACTGTTGCCTTGCAGCAAGAAGGTTCCTGGTACGATTCCCAGCCCAGGGTCTCTCTGCATGGAGTTTTCATGTTCTCCCTGTACATGCATGAGTTCTCTCCGGGTACTCCAGCTTCCTCCCATAGTCCAAAAACATGACTACTAAGGTTAATTGGATTCTCCAAATATTCATTATGTGTGAGCTTTGATGGTTATTTTTGTGCCCCCATAACTGAAGAGAATGGGAAATGAAAAAATTCAGTTTGAAAATAATGCAATTTATAAAACTGATTATAAAAATGAGAAATGTAAAAAAAAGATAGATCACATTTGAATAAATGAATTCTGTAAAAACAAACAATAAAACAAATCTAAGAAAACACTAACGATGTTACTTTTAAAACATTATTTTGTTTATATTAATATTTAATTCAATTCAGTTTATTTATATAGCGCCAATTCACAACACATATCATCTTAATGCACTTTACAGTTCATCAGATCATCCAGTCAAATTGATTCAAAGTTTTCTATCTAAGGAAAACCAGCTGATTGCATCGACTCATTGACTCTTCAGCAATCCCTCACACTAAGCATGCTTGTAGCATTCTACAAAGTATCTTTGCTTCCAACAATATTGGAACAAGTTATTTCTAGAGTTCTCCACTATTGGGGAAATAAAATTATACAAAAGATTAACTTTTTGTAGAAAATTTCAAGAAGACCGGAAACTAAAGAAGGAATAAGAAGCAACATTACTTTCCAACAGGACAATAGTCTCTACATAGAGCCAGTGCTATAGTGGAAATGTTCTAATCAAAGCGTGTTTATGTTTCTAGACCCAAATCTATCTGGGTCTCTGTATTAAGATCTACATATTTACAGTGGCTCTTTGTCCAATCTAGGAAAACACTGGTAATAAAACTGCAAAACAATGGCTGATCTGGTTGATCCAAAGGGTGTTTTAAAAAAGGGGCATTGAAAGGAGCTGAAAGCAAAGGGAAGCCAAACTTTTCAGACTTTTAGTAACAGGAAAATATCACACTGTAGTTAGGAAGACATCGTTACACACTTTTCTTTCACTTCACAGCTTTTTTTTTTTTTTTTTGCTGTAAAATATAATAAGCATGTAGAATAGCAGAAATAATTTTACCAAACATTTCAAAACCCACCAAATTAATAGGATGCTCTTATTTGTGATAGAAATAGAGATAATCAATGTACTGCAGAAAAATAAAACAAAATTAAAAACATTTTTTTTTTATTTATGTAGTACAATAAATTTTTTGTTTTGCTCTAACTCTAATATATACAGAAAAAAACCTTAAAAAGCAAGAAATTCTGTTTTCCTTTGCAGACTTTTAACCTGAAAGTCCAGCCACCTAATTTCCTGTCTCCCTGAGTTGTGTTTGCCCACAAAATGGCCGCGCCCTCTGACGTCAGAGGCAGCGGATAAAAGGTAGGGCAGCTGAGCCCTTTTCAAAGCCATGTTGGCTTTCTGCCTCCTGACACAGCTTCTCCCCCATCATTTATAAAAATAAATTATTTATCCTCCTAAATCTGACACGTTACCAGCTGGATTAAAGGAGGATTACAAAGAAAAATGAAACTTTTCAGCAAAAAATATGGTCAATTCAAACAAGGAACCATCAAACAGCTTTTTTACATTCAGAGTCAGTGTTGAAATGAAAAGTGGCTGCAATGTTCCATCCAGCAGTTTCTCTAAACAAGCGTCTCAAACCTTTAACCTGCTTTTATTTGCATGAACTCAGACTTTAGATATCCTCCCTCCAGCATCAGTTTTCTCTCCCTGTAAACAGTAACTATTTCAAAGGGAAAAGTCGTTTCACCATATTTTGCCATCTGGCCTTTTTCTTCCCTCTCAGAACATCACAGTGCATTATTTTACTCAGCACACGAGCTGCTAAAGCGTTTAAACACCATCATGTCCAGAGGAAGAAGAAGCGAGGTGATGAAATGTAGACAATCCAATCTTCTCCCTGCATCTCTGTTTGTTGGTATGTGGAAGCCTGCTGATTTTAACACTGCTGTCTGCATAAACATGAACCTGGACGGTCCTCCCTGTCCTTTAGAGATTGCTCTCTGGTGTGCGCTGCCGTTTGCCCCTGGAGTCCTTGACTTCATATAAACAGATTCATGAATATTAAATAGCGGACACAGAAGGACAAGCTTTGGAAGAACTACAGATGGATTTTTCTGGGCTTCCAGCAGCCTCCACATGATATGAGAACAAGATTGGATTCCACAATCACTTCTTTAATAGCACATGAGGTGATATTTTGTGGAAGAAAAAATGCCTCCAGATTTGAATTGTTGCTTCAGATTGTGACCTAGTTTTTAAGGGCTGAACATTTAAATGTTTATAAACCTGAGTCTCCTGGCTTTTGTGGCTCTAAAGTTATTTATGACGTAAAATATCTGATCACTAATCTCTGTTAGTCCACTCTGGATGTCACTGAAGATCTTAGATAGTTCTTTATAAATGTGAGCTTGGAAAAGCTGTGGATGCAGCAGGATATCTGCACATCTATCCAAAGATTTGGTTTCACCTCACAGATCTTATTCGGAGAGGGGGAGAGAAGAAGTTCAGATGAGTCCTGGAAGGTTTTCCATCCTGAATCCACCACTCTGCAGCTGTTCTCCAAAGACTGTCTCTGAAAAGTTTACACTGGTCTTCTGTGCATCAAGCTGACCCTTTTATTTGTTCTGTTATAATTTTTTTCTTGGTTTGCATAGATCAGTAGTGAGTTCTAAATGATCAAATCTATGATATTTAAGAATAGAAGTGCTGGTATTTGTGTGTTTTTGTGATTATAATCCGAGAGAAATACTTATATAGAGAGTAAATATGCATGTATATTTTTACCTGCTTTTTGGGGCCCCTAGTTTCTCTGTGGGTCTAAACAGCTGCTTAGTTTGCTTCTGCTTTGGGTCGTTTATGAACTTTAGAGGATGTTGGACTTCATAGAGTTTTCTTTTGAGTTTTTTTTTCTTTTTGTAAAAGTATTTTTCTTCCCTGTGAACATTTTGTGGAACAACTTCAATCCAGTTTAAGTAATTCGTCTGAATCTCTGCCTAAAGCCAGAAAATAATCACTTTCCACACTGCTTCGACTTGGAGTCTGAAGACCGTAGGGATCTTGTTTAAATCTCTCAAAAGCCAGTTATTACCAGTGCTGATCACTGCTACAGAGACTTTGTTCTATTGGGCTGTAATAATTCAAATAAATATGAAAAGTAGACATCATATTTGATTATTCCAAGACGTTTAGGCTTGATACAAAACAATAAAGTGTCTTTTCACTTTAACTTTATTTAAATTTGCATTATTTTTAATGAATGAAATGTTAAAACTAAAAAAGAGTTATATTTAATGTTTTGGTCTAATAGTAACAATTTCTCTACATCTCTTTGGACTTTTTTACAATTTAAAGCTCAACGTGATGACGAAGTTTTCCCTAAAACATAAGATACATTTATTGGTCAGAAGAAAACAAAAAACCTGTATGGATATATTTAACAAAGTGGGGATATTTGGTATTTTTATTTAATGTCCCATTAAATAATAAAAAAACATTTATTATAATCAGGTAATTAAATGTCATAAAAAATGTAACTTATTAAAAAATTGATTCAGTTTTTATTTCTAATAAATAGATATATCAAGGGAAGTAATTAGATATGTATATATTTTTTCTTTTTCATTTTATAGGGGTATGTACTGAGACTGAAAGGTTTCAGTGCATAACCCTAAGCCTCCTGACTTTAAGCCACAAAAGTCAGACCAAAAACTGCTGAGTCAGCGCATCTCTGCATCAAAAATGAAGTTATACAGCAGCACTTTTCATTGAGTGGTTGGATATAAAGGTCAGAGAGTTCGTCATTCAAAAAGTAGGAAAGTTATTGTAAAAGACAAAAGAAAAGTTTTCCACCCGATTCAGTTGATCTTCTAGTAACACACACACACACACACACACACACACACACACACACACACCATCGTCCATGTCACGACCTCTGCCCTCATAAGATCCAGTTAGTTAGTTTCTGTCCCTGAAAGATCGGTGTTGTCTTCTTGAAGTTAACGGCCCCTTTAAAAATAAAACCCATTAACAGGGTTCCCTCCCAAGTGATGAGCTCCATCAATCTCCCTTAATTATCATTGATTATATGAAGAGTAATTGGTGTCCTTGGATCCTGGAGGCGTTCATGCAAAGCCCGGTGGAAACGCTGAACACTAATGCATTCTCAAAAGAAAAACTCACATTTATTGCATCTCTGACAAATAGGACAAAAGTTATGGTCATCAACTATTGAGTGATTTTTCTGCCAAAATGTTGTACAAAAATGCATGTTCACAAACAAATCTTATCACTCACAAATAAACATGTTGCACTCAAATAAATCTTAT